GCCAATGAGATTCTAAAGGGGGTGTGAACCTAAAAAACGAGTTAAGCTACTTAAATCAAGAAAAAAATCTAAGATCCCTCGTGAAAACCGCAGTCCTACATCCATAGTATCCGAGAAAATTCTTTGTGAAGATAAATTATGCAGGACTAGTGACGTCACAACCACCGAAATCGCAGTCTTCTGTTTATTCAGTCGTCAGTGGACCGTACCCTATTTTTTGAGTGGTTGCAATTCGCTCTAGTGAAATAATTGTCTTTTGTTTTGGAAAGTTCTTACACGTGTTAATACTCTCCCTGATAATCCAGTGTGACGTCACAAACACCTAACTCGAAAACGGACCATCGTAGCAAGATGAGGTTTAAATATTTATTCTTAGATTTTTTTGCACTAAAACTTTCATTTTTGGGTCGCACCCCCTTTAAAACATTTTCATTTAGCTTGGTATAGTCACAACAGAGCCGCACAGAATCAACCTTATCAACACAGACAATTAGGCTCATAGTCTGATCAAATGGTGTTCAAAAGTGCCTGTTTCGTAACATAAATTTGGTAGAAGGTTTTTCAACGGAATTATATGTTTTTTTGGGGTGCTGAATATGAATCTGATGTTTGCTGCCTCATAGCAGTACCGGCTCAGGTCAAAAAATGAGAAAAACCAAGAAATTCTCGGATTTTTTCCGGTTTTTTGGTAATATCTTGCAAGCGACACATCGTACGAAAAATGTCACGGTATTCAAAGTTGAGAAACATAAAATTTTGCGTCGAGTAACCTCCCTAACCTTGTTACTGCTAAATTCATAAGCTCGCCATCGTCAGTCGAAAAAAGCCATTTTCAATTTTGATGAAGTTTTGTGAAAATTGCAATAAACTTACTTACGAAGGAGAGTAAAATAAAATGAACATTGCTATCAGGTATTGTCCATAGTTTCCACACTATACTACAACTTACTAGCTCTTTTTTTTCAGCTGACTATATGGTCTTCCCATGATTTTTCCTACAATATAGGTAGGTAAATATTATGTCTATGGTATATATTATTTCATCTTGTTAATCTTAAGGGGATTGAATGCGCCTTTTAGAATATATTGTAACGCACGTCGAACTATACAACTACCCAACAAGTTAATACTTATAAAGATGCGAGGTTCATCGCGATCATTGCATTGGTCTACTGTTGGCGCTGGATCGTTCATGACGGCGATTTAAAATGTATCGCAAAACAGTTGGAAGGAAAGAGCAAAGAGCCATAGGGGTTGCTGCGGGTATAACAGAGACAGACAAAATGACAAGAAGAATTAATTAAATTTGTAAAAAAAAACTACCTAATTTTTGGAATTCTGGTTTATGCTATTGTATTGCTAACACACATAAGATTGGCGCTAATTAAAAAAAAAACACTATAAATTGATTTTCTTTCTCGTTTTTTTCCAGTTTAAATTACATTATATTGACAGGCACAAACTTTTTATTATTGTCAAATAAGTGTCTAGAGCAGTGGCTCCCAAACTTTTTTAACCTACCGCCCACTTTTAGAAAATGAGATTTTTCAGCGCCCCCTGGTAGAGATCCAAGATATTGAAGCTGCGCCTTTTTTTTGAAAATTTTCACGGTCGTGCGTTTTCTTGCCAAGGGGCTGAATGTCAAGTTACCTCCTCAGTAGGATTTTGTCAGAAAATGACCAAATATGGAAATTTTGAGAAAAACCTGATACAGCACAGTTCAGCACACTTCAGATTGCATAAGAATTCATTTTTGTTTCATCTTATTTCTAAAATGTTAGGAGGCTGAGCGTTAAGTTAGCCTTCCCAGTAGAATTTTGTCGAAAAATTACCGAACATAGAAATTTTGAGAAAAACCTGATACAACACATGTCCAGCACACTTCAGATTGCGTAAGAATCCATTTTTGTTTGATCTGATTTCTAAAATTTTTGGGGGGCTCAGCGTCAAGTTAACTCTCCCAGTAGGATTTTGTCAGGAAATGACCGAATATGGGAATTTTGAGAAACCTGATACAGCACACTTCAGATTGCACAAGAATCCATTTTTGTTTGATCTTATTTCCAAAATTTTGGGGGCTGAGCGTAAAATTATCTCCCCCAATAGGATTTTGCCTGAAAATGACGGAATATGAAAATTTTGAGAAAAATCTGATACAGCACAGTTCAGCACACTTCCGATTGCATAAGAATTCATTTTTGTTTGATTGGGTTTCCAAAATTTTGGGGAGGCTGAGCGTCAAGTTAGCCCCTCATCTTGTTTTTCCTATAACTTTGGTATCAGAACAGCACAGTTCAAAGTGGTTGCAATTTTGTTAGAAAAATCGAATGGGGGGCTTACTTGACGAAGCTTATTTTTGAGCTGCTGATCAATGCGTGTATTAGCGGTATCGCATTTTAAGCAAGTCATAGCAGACTTAGTTGAGGTGCGTGCGGGTTGCGTTCAAAACTTGAAGTTTGCCAAAATTGACTCTGAAAGAGATAGACATAGACTGACCATGAGCCTTATCTTTATAGCATTGAAGAGTAATTTCCGTAAAAAGCAATTTACTATTTAATTTTAATTTTTTTTCTGATCTGTTCGTTTATTTTCCACCGCCGACTAATTTGTGCTTACCACCCCCCAAAATCAGCTGAGCTCTTTACCGCCTCCCGAGATGGTTGTAGCGCCCACTGGGGGGGTTATCGCCCACTTTGGGAACCACTGGTCTAGAGGAAAAATGAAGAAATGATCAGTATATGCGTATATACTAATCCAAATGTAAAATTTTGGTGCTAAATGAACTCAATATTTGGTTAAGTACCTCTTCAAAGAGTTTTTTACTTAGAGTGCTTGTTTTGAAATCACTGTCGTCTGTCGTCTAAAAGTAAGTTTATTGCAGTTTTCACAAAAGTTCATTGAAATTGGCTTTTTCCGACTGATATTGGCGGGCTTATAAATTTAACAGCAACAAGGTTAGGTAGATCATTCGACGTAGAATTTTACGCTCTTCAACTTTGAATACTAAAGCATTTTGCGTGCGATGCGTTGTTTGCAAACCGGAAAAAGTCCGAAAATTTCGAGGTTTTTCGCGATTTTCGGCCTGAGCCGGTCCTGCTATGATGCAGCAAACTTCAGATGCGTATTCAGCACCTCAAAAAACATATAATTCCGTTGAAAAACCTTCTACCGCATTCATGTTACCAAAAAATTACCATTTGATTGGGTTATCACCCAATCTGTAGGCTCTTCAATAGGCTCAATAATGTCTAATCTTGGCAGTCTATCAATTTCTATCTTCAATTTTGGCAAAAGCGGCAAACGAACGGTTCGGGAAACACTTCGCACATAAGGCTTAGCATCAGACCTAATTCTAATATACATTCCATTTTTAAATTCCCCTATATCACTAAAAATCCCAGGAAATTTTTTAGCAATTAAGTCTAAACTAAACATTGAAAAAATATTTCGATTCTCAACCTGACTTACATGTCCTAATGCATGCTTAGAAAAATTCAAAATATTAAGGCTATGGTGCTAATATAACCAAACGTTAACCAAAGTTGACAGATGGTTACTGAAAATTCCGATTACTTGGGAAACGCAAATTTGAAATAAAAATAATTGACAGAAATTATACATAAAACCAACAGAACCGAAATCCGATGGCCGGTAACTATTTTGACATTTGGTTAACAAGATTTGAGGAAACCGAGGTCCAAAATTAACTACTTTTGCAGGAACCACATTAATTTGATTACTTTTGGACTGCAAAACCACAACCCTGGTTAAATTCGGACCACAGCCTGAATTTAATAATATAGTACTCCTACTTAAAATGGGTTGTCTTAATTTCTTGATGCAATAAATCGTCTCAGTATCTGTAATACCGGCATGAGTTAACTTGATACGTAACTTACCCACTATGTCCAGTTTATGCTAATCAGCAGCGCCAATTGGATCACATTTTACTATCTTACTTACATATTCTGCAGGTAACTTCTCATATGGAAAACAATTAACGTCTGCTCCACTGTCCACGAAAAATGTCTATTGTCCATTATAATGTCCACATACCAGCGATCTTTGTCGTCAAGGTACACTTGGCCAATAAATGTATCCATTTGTAACACTTGGTTCGCTATATTATGTGGCTCCTCATTCTCAGAATAGCTACTAGTGTTGGGCTCTAAGCACTCAACAGCTCTGATAGCCTTTTTTCCAGCATATAGTACTCCAGTGACCTCTGCGTAAACAAGATCTACACTCAGAGAACTTTGCTGAACATTTCTCCCTATCTTTACATCTATGTATACCGCAGTGGGAACACCTATCACCTTCTTTGATAGTTCTTTGTTTAGGAAGAAACTTATCCTTGTGCCTTTTGTCCCTAAATTCCTTGCCATTTGGCTGCATCTTTTCACTCACTTTTATGTCAGCTATACCTATAACAATCCGGTCCTGGATTAACTAAATAAAATTTTGTACGGGCTCTCCTGGTCCCTGGAATCTGGAATCGAATTGGGATCTCTCAAAGATAGTATTCCGCCGGCAAATAAAATGATTATTGAAAATCTCTAATATCTCTTGGAAGCTTTCGTTTCCAGTTACCTGTTTTTGAAGTAAAATTTCCTCGGCTTCATTTCCCATCAAATACACCAAGCGATCTAATTTGTCCTTGTCAGACTTTCCACCAAACCCACTTACCGACATATATCTTTCTACCTCCTTTTTTCATTGGAGCCATGTCTAGAGCTGCGTAAAATCAAACTCGCTTAGAGCCGTAACGGTCGCAAACGCTTCATTTGTCACCGACGCACTTGACGATGCGTCCACAGTTGGAGACATTTTTACAGCTTTAAATTTCCTACTGGCGTGACACAGATCTAGATTATGTGTTCATAGTCACCTGAAATCCTTTTCGATCACTTTTTGCCTGCTTTATTCAATACACAGCAAGGCATCAACTGCCACTATGTCGTCTTAGGGTTTAGGCGTGAGATAACAGTTCTTATAGTACTCAACAGCGTCGTTTATTACTCGCAAGCAATGGGTAAAACCACACGGTCATAAGCTCGTGTGACAACTTATATGACAACTCCATTATTGTAAACTTACCTGCAGGACGTTGAATGGTGGAATGTCTATACAATGAATATGCTAACAGCACAGGTTCAGCATTAAAATCAACTTTAGTTTATGTGTGAAACTATGTCACTGTAAAAATATTTTACATTTACTTCACCCTTCACTCGAAAATTCGACTTAAAATTACCATGAGACACCTAAAGTGATTGTTGACTTTTGAGATGCTGTGGTTTCAATGATATGCAAATGATCATATAAATAACAAAGACAGAACACTCGTTGGGAACGTTGCTCTCCTGTTTCAAGAATAAGGACCCTGCGCTGGGACAACTGGGCACAATAAATTTCAATTTTGTGTACCTTTTGTTGAGACATATATTACAAGAACGCATCAGTTTGGGTTTAATTAGTAAATCACTTACTAAAACGAGCAATTTATTTACAGATTAATTTTCTTCGTAGTTGGTACACAGGAATCCAAAAGGCAATTGGTAGTCACTATATGTTTGTAATATGAAGCTGATGCTTTTGCTGTTCTGGTTCTGTTTTCACTGTTGAAGTCCACATGGTAGTGTCCCAGATTAGTTCTTCGCAATAAATAAAATTTATTTTTTGAATGAAAAATATAAAAGGAATACTTACAACCATCCAGCATACCATTCAACATCATTCATCAAACTCCAGGCCATATATCCAATCAGATTAACGCCGTCCTTATAAATAACGTCGTTCAGGTTACTAAGATACATCTTGTGGAAACGGCCTCTTGTGTCCAAATCGTCAAGTACTTCACCATTGTCGGTATAACCATTTTCAGTAACGATAATGCCCTTTTTATCGCCATATGTCTGTGCAATCCATCTGACTAAATGACGAGCACCCCAAGGAACCACCTACATTTTCAATATTTAATGTTCACATGAAATATATGCACTAGGTGTAGTAATGTTAGTTTTAAATAGCGTCACTTGAAAAATAATAGTATTTTGCAATGTTTTCAATAATATTGAATCTCCTACTTAGCCTAAATAAAAAAATAACTGAAATCTAGAGATGCTGAATGTAATTACCTATTAAAACTTAAATTTTGATCTAAATATAGGTATGGTGAATTCTTTGTTAATATTTGTAAATGGTGCAATATTATTCAAGTATGTATAACCTATTGATTTAATATAGGCTTGTAAGATTAAAACCAAAAAATGTTGATGTTTACTTTTGCACTTTATATTATCCAAGTTCGAGTGCTTCTACAATTTGTTGTAACTTTTTGATTCAACAGAAGAAAATTGTTCTGTAAAGAGAAATTTGAATGACGACTGCATCTACTCTAAACGCACTAAACAATTAAACTTTACTTACCCTGAACCAATCTGCTGCCGTTCTTTCCCAATCGTCGGGTTGGTAAGTGTTCACTGAAATATCTGCACCGTAACTGATTTGATCAATTGGAAAGTCTTGAGTGGCAGCTGCAAGAACTGTAGTGTACATGTTGACAGATAAGTAATCGTAACTTCCTAAAATAAAATAATGATGACCACCACGTTTACGGACAAATAAAAAAAATATATATATATAATATACAAAATCTCTTGCCTTTTAATTCAGATTTCTCTTCTTCGGTAAAAACTGGAAGACGAGATTCAGAAAGTCCTTGTTGAGCACTACGCTTATCGATTCTAGTTCTCATGATTTCTGGATAGTCACCATAAACGATGGGATGAGCAAACCATCCGTACTAAAGTAAATATTAATGTTAATTTAAGGAGAAACAAAACAAAACTCATAAAAGAAATTAAGTCATGAAGATAAATAAACTATTATTAAAACTATCAACGTCGCGAACAGCGATGCTAAGTGTTTGTGACACTTTCTGCCTTTTCCTGCACACCATCAAACACCATCTGGTATTGTCTTGACGAGCGATGTGTCCAGACGAAATCTACTTCAATTTAGCTATTCGGGTTATGACATTATCCACCTCCGTTCATCGTCTGATCATGCTATTTCTGATATGATACCTTAGACTGATCGACCTATTAGTCATCTATTGTTTGCCCAGCGGATCTGAGTCTACGAAAGGAATTCGGACGTAAATGTGCGATATTGCCACAAAACAAAATGTAGATAACAATAGAACGCTAAATATTTCAACGTGGTTGTTAGATCTATGCTTATTTTAATAACTGATTTCTTTAATTTTGTCTATTGTAAAAAACAAACATTTCCTAAAGAATCCATCAACTTTTGACAATTTGGCAAGGATCCGGCCTGGATGTACCTGATTGGTGGAGTTTTTGGCAGGATAGCCATTGCCACGGGCAACCATGCAATTGTCAGTGGGCTAACGTCACCTTACGTCTCGCTATTGGCCAGGGCTCTTGTCATTTTATCCTCCCATCTTGGAATATCGATTTATATTGAAATATCCAGTGGCGGCGGTTTGGTCATTGTCGATTTTCGTAAACGAGTTGCAATACGATAACATTTCCAAAAAGTTCCGCACGCAGCTGGGTATTTTATGAATGAAATCAGCCATTTTTTTTACAACTGCATTCCCCTTACCGTTGCCCCGTAGACACAGAGTCGCTGGGCAGACATAATGGCTGCCAGAATAAAATTTACGAACGACCACAACGATTCTCGCAATGTATCTTCGATTTGTAATAAAGGAAACAGTTTCATTTTTAGCTGATGTGTCTGGACTTCTCCAAGTCTACTTTTTTTTTTGTCGGCTCTTGGAACAATGTAGATATTCATACAATTTCAGTGTTCCTTCTGAAGGTAATAGGACGTTCTCTTCGTTCTATTTTCGTGAAATTTATTTATACAGGGTGTATCAGGTATGAGTACAAATATTTTAACATGAGATAATACGGCCCATTTCAAGCTAAGACTGTCCTATTAACCATGAGTCAATTGTTAGTATTTTCGAAGCTATCGCAGAGTTCAAATTCATTTGCATCTGTTTACGTTTTGGTTTGTTATTGACTTTCAATTAATGTGAATAATAACTTGCATTTTTATCACTTTTCTAGTAAAAATAAAAAATTTGCCGTTTTATTAAGTTGTGAATTGCACTCAATGACATTTTTGCACTAAACATTCAGGAGAAAAATTAAATAATACTTACTCAGCTACTAACCAAATCCTCATTATGAAAATATTAATTTTTGTTAAAAGGTTCTCAAAATACTCAAATCAACACGCAGATTTTGCACACTCACACATCCCGTATCACGCAATCTTTGTAAAACGGGCACAATGTTCTTTCATCAGGGTCCGTATTCTTGAAACAGGGGAGCAAAGTTCCCAGGAAAACGAGTGTCCCATCTTTGTTACTTATATTATCATTTGCATATCATTGAGAAAAACGAAACACTCGTTTTCCTGGGAACGTTGCTCCCCTGTTTCAAGAATAAGTACCCTGGTGGGTGCCCTTGGGAAATGTCAAAACTTAATAGGCATTTTTCTTAAAAATGGTTGAGTTTGGACCCCATGTAGTATAAACTTTTTTTATTCAAAATGGGCCATATTTTCACGAGTTAAATTTTTTGTAGTCAAACCTGTTATACCCTGTATATACAAGTTGTTTCACGTCCTCATCATTAGCGTTACTTATAGGCGCGTAAACTTGAAAAATCAGGCTGCTGATTATCTGAATATGTCCATAACCATATTCATTACTCTAACAGATAAAGATAGATTTAATTTTTGATGATCCAGTCTTTCATGGAACAGTATCACAACTCCTCATAGATGTGCATTTTCCTCTAAATTGGCAATTACTATTCGCCCTAGTTTTCGCAATTCTTGTTAAAAATAACCATAACAGGTTTGTTCTCACCGAGAATGTGCAAGCTGTTACGGACAGTTTTCAAATGGGTTTCTGACAGTTTTGGAACTGTCTCTGGATCAACATAAAATCTAACTTAACATGAACACGATATCACTAGAGACTTTTGCGGTACATTCAAAATATAGAAATGTTCGTTGTTTACTGAAATTCAACTAAACGGGGAATAGTTCTTCATAAACCTTTGAAAAAACTTGGAAACGTATACCGGTCTCCTTTAAACAATATACTTCATAGTTTTACTTACAGTCATCAAATTTACACGTTCAGAAGCTTCGATATCCGCTGATGAATTCGAAGCAGGCTCATTCCAGGATTCATCAATAACCATTGAAATTTTACCATTTTGCTTAGTCCTATATTTCTCATCGTATACCCTGTATACTTTGGCGTGAGCTTTAAGTAAATTGTGAGCGCAAATGTAGCCTCCTCTGCCAGAACTCAAGGTTTGAGGAGAGAAGCCACCGTAATCGTATCCGCCGCCACAAATTTGTTTGGGTTCGTTAAAAGTTATCCACCATTTGACGTCGTCGCCGAATTGTTCGAAGAGAAGCGTTGCGTAGTCGACGAAAGCGGGAATAAAGACACTCTATAAAATATAATCTATTATAAATAATGCTTCAAGAGTGCAGGTAATATATTACAGCATTCAAAAATCCACCATCGTCTTCGATAGCTCTAGGATTGTCCCAATGGTGCATTGTGACAAGTGGTTCAATGTTGTTTTCCTTGAGCCTTTTAATGAGATCTTTATAGTAATCAATACCTGCAATTAACAACATCAAAAATTAAATTTTCTCAAATTTTATTCAGATTGGCATGAAAAGTTTCAACGAGTGAACATCTGCACTAACCTATAAGTTTATAGAGAATATAATTTTTTATTTCCCAATAGACAAAAAAAAATTGTGTGGGATTTTTCGAGCCAGATCCTATCAGATAAAAATATTCAGATACATAATAAAGTTGCAAAAAGAGCTTTGCAGACTAGATCTGCCTGTCTAAGAAATACTGATTTGCTTACGTTGATTGAAAAAAAAAAAAAAAAACTGTTTATACAAAAGAATCTGGATGAGTGGCAATTTATTTGGATTTTGAAGACAGATAAATATCAACCTGTAAAATGTAGGTACAACCTATGGTACAACTAATAATTTATGAGTAGAAGAAATGCAATGCAAATAATGAATAGAATAAGAATAGGGCACAGCCGAGATATACATGACCACCTTATGGAGACCATTTTCATGTGAATTGTGTAATCTAACTATACAGCACAGTTATTTTTCTGCTGCAGAGACAAAATTTCAAGCTCGGCGCAGATCTCCAGGTATAGTTGATCCCTCAATGGCACCAACTACGTTTTCTAAGGTTTTCTCATATTCAGTTTTGGATCACTGACAGTTCGTCTCAGATGTCAGAAGTGAATAAGAAACTAAAGAGCTGTTCGACTATATATCTCCGGAATAGAAGATAAAATCAAGCAGATCCTCGATTTATTGAAACTTGCGGATGAAAAAAGAAAAAAGGAAAAACAATACCGATGAACAGACGATAGAAAGAAACGCAGGAAAAAGCCGAGATATGACTGAAAAATAAACAGGAAGAAAAATATAGAAGACTGAAAGCGAAAGAACGGAAACAAAGATAGAAAGGTATTGCCAGTATCGTCGAACTGTTGTGCAACATTCGACAAGAAATGATCCTGTGATGTTGGAGGAATGTAAACCTCTACTAGAAATGGCTAGAGAAGATTTGATAAATGTTTTTGAAGCCGCTGACTTGAGTGAGAGGAAGCCATTACTGAAATATCATAGGGATGTTCAAGAATGGTGCAGAAGCTGCGACCTCTGTGCTTCAAAGGACGGGCCAAGACACTATCTGATACACGCGATATCCATGGAAGTTCGTAGTGAGGGACGAATTTTGGGTCCGAAGTATGAAATAACTGACACGATCACTGAGTGGAAGACGAGCACGACTCTACTTCGACCACATCCCGATAGAATTGTCGAGGGGCAAAATCGGACCATCAATCACCCTTTCGCTGTTTGTGGATGAGTAGCACCTAACTAAGACATGAACTTCTGCCCCTTTTCCTTCTGACCTATCGAAGTTCTCAGCACGAATCAACCGAAGACAAAGATGAGGCAGTGAAGAACGAGTTTTAGGACACCCTGAAGAATAAAATCGGCGCACTACCTGAACAGGATATAAAATTTATTTTGGAAGATTTAAGTGAGAAGAGAAGCGGAATTAAGACCCCACACTGAAAAAAAAAATCGTTCATAATATTGACGAATGGCAGTTATTATTTCTTTGTCATTAACTAAATGAAATATTTCATTAATCCAATTAAACAGTATTCATAGCCTAATTACTTCGTTCCTTAATGTAAAGAATTTATGCTCAACAATATCATAAAACCCATGAATTTTTATATTCCATTATTCGAACGAACACTTTAATCAGTATAAGGAACTTTCTTTGAATACCACTGATTTTATTCCTTGATTTTATGAATAATCGTTCATAAACCACATGCATTGTATGTACCGGGTGTCCCAAATTCGAGGGTGACCATTGAGATATCGGAAACTATTAGGGATACGAGTTTGGTTAAATTATGGCAAAGTTGCGCAATTTTTTTACCAATAAAATGCCGTTTTAAAATTTGAAAAATTCCGAATATTTCCGAAAATATTCGGAAAAAAACCGAAATTTTGCAAAATCATTTTTATTTTTTCCTGAATCTATTTGAAGAGGAATTTTAAAATAAATGTCACTTCATCATTGTCACTTTTTTCCCTTTACAAGATGTTGCTACCAAATTTCAGATTCGACGTTTCGTTTTTAGGCGGCCATCATCAATTTTATTTTTCTAAACACAATCCCGAATAAAGTTATGTCTTACATCGATATGCTTGGTTCGTTTGGTTTCCAAAGTATTTGCCATCTTTATACAGGATTGTTTGTCTTCAAAAATTTGAATAGGAAAAGTATCACTATTTAAAATTTCACTCATCAGCTCTGCAATGAAAATGCATTGCATTGAATAATCAGAGAGTGCAACATACTCTGCCTCTGCACTGCTGAGAGAAACAGTTAACTGCTTTCTGGATTTTCTTCAACATACAAAATTATCAAAAACTTTCATTGCAAAACCTGAGATGCTTTTTTTATCCTCAATAGAATTTGCAAAATCTGCATCTACATAAGCAGAGTTTCACTATTTTCTTGTGATTTTTCATATTTTAGACCATAATTTTCTGTATTTTTCAAATAGCGGAAAAAATGTTTCTAATATTTCCAATGTTCTGAGGAAAAACCGTTTTGAAATTGGCTAAATTATGAAATGCTATAGCACAAGTCTGGTCTAGTTCCTATCATGATGTACATCAAACATCCTATTAACTCCTGATAAGGAATGTTTGATTCTCGTCCCTCACAACTTTTCAAATTCAATTTTTGCAATAGGAACACTTGAAACCTTGCATTCAGACATATTGAATTGAAGCATAATTGAACCCTATGCTGGAACAACGTTTCAAACGCCAAATATACCAAACAAGCGCGAAACTAGAGCGGTTGCAATTAAAACGTTATTGCACAAAAAGGACATACTGGGCCAATTGAAATGGCATCAACACTTCATAAAAAAAAATCATATTATCCCACTATTAAGTTGGCGAATTATCCAGGGTACAATACAACGTTATTCCATGAAAATACCGTTTTTACACATTGTCGTTTACAACGTTGTTCCAGCATAGGGTTAAATTTTATAAATCAATTCCTTCTGACTTATAAATAAACAAGTTTCTGTTTTCTGAATTGTTAAGCCCAGAAATTTTGCAATAAACTTATTTTGTGATTTTGGTGACAAATCTCTCATTTGAAATTTTTTCATGATGTTATTCTTGAAAAGGACAAGTTTCAAATCAGATTCACAAAGTAGAACTATGTCATCAACATGCACCACCAATATTATATCTGAGTCAAAATATAGGCACGGATCGGATTTTGATCTCTGAAAGTTCAAGCTTAGTAGAAAGTTATGCAACTTTTCGTACCAACATTTTGGTGCTTCCCTCAAATTGTAAAGTGATTTCTGCAACTGACAAACGTACTTACAGTCTGAGTCCAAGTTTTCACATTCGGAATATACTTCAAAGTTTTACTCACTGGATTTTGATTGTTTAAAACCACGTGCCACTAATCGCGCTTTTTCAACAAGTTTACCGTCACTATCTTCTTTTTTGCGAAAATGACTATGACTTGTATCCATCCTTTTCCATCTTGATATAGCTTCGGAGTAAGTTTGGAATATGTCGCTGTCCAGATTTTCAATGAATAAAGCTGCCATTAAGCTTTCATCTAAGTCACCATAAAGTTCATAATCATCCAACCTTTGACGTCTTCTGATTTGTCTTCTCTCTCTAATCGTGTTGTCATTTTCTATCTCTGGGATTTCCTCAGCATCTTCCCACTCATTTTATTCTTGTATCTCATTTTCTATGACTTGTTCGTTTTCATCCATCTGACTGTCATTATCTATGATCATTCTCTCTGGTCCAATTTCTTGTTTCTGTTCTGTCTTTTTCTTTTCATCAAAGATCACATCTCTAGCTGTTACTATTTTCTGCTTCTCAGAATCCCACAATCTATACCCATTCTGTGTATAGCCGATCATTAACATTTTCTTGCTGCGAACATCCAATTTTCCTTGTCCATCTTCTTTAGGTACATGAACAAACGCATTGAAACCAAACACTCGAATTTTGTCTAAATTCGACTTCACACTGTACCAGATTTCAGCAGATGTTTTGTTATTTGACAATACTGAGGTGGGTGTCCTGTTTATCAAGTAAGTAGCTGACTGTATGCCTCGTTCCAGAAATTCTTATCTATTCCTGTGTCATAGATCATACATCTTGCTCTGTCCAATACCGTTCGGTTAAATCTCTCCGCAATACCGTTTTGATGTGAATTTTTTGGAATAGTGTATTCTATTTTGATTCCTCTTTTCTCACAGAACTTAATCAGGTCTTTTGAAATGTATTCTCCTCCACAGTCACAGCGTAACCTTTCCAGTTTAAAACCAAACTGTGCTTCTGCTGTTGCCAAATACTGCTTGAATTTCTCTGAAACTTCACTTTTCTGTGCCATCATGTATACAACAGTAAAGTGTGAGAAATGATCGATAAAGCTCACAAAATACCTCATTCCGTTGTGTGATGTAGGATTCGGTGGACCACAGATATCTGAGGATACAGCTTCTAGTATTCGTTTTGCGTTTCTTTCATCTGGCAACAACTTGAATGGTAATTTGGTTTGCTCACCTTTCAAGGCATGTTTCACACACTTTTTCTACGGGAAATCGCCAAGAATGACCCATTCTCTTATGTAGTAGTTCTTGATCACACTCTGATGTCAAATTTGCTTGTTTACTTGTCAGCTTGAAGTTCAATTTGTCTATGTTTAATTTGTACAAATTTCTTCTCAAGATACCTTTCGTTATTTCATCTTGATTCATCATGATTTTGACAGATTTGTTCTTGAATATTAACTTCAATCCATTTTATCACAATTTTTCTTCCTTCATATGTTTTCAAGTTCAGCTTTCCTTGTTTTGTTCCCAGTATGCTCTGTCCTTTTCTAGTAACTTGAATGTTGTATTTTATAGGCTTGGCTTCTGTCAGGTACTCACCAAGATCAGATTTCACTAGATGATTTGTAGCACCACTATCTACTACAAACTCTACA